ATGTATGAATAGATGGGTGGATAGATGTCTGGATGGGTGAGTGGATGGATGGATAGATGTATGTATGTATATATGGATGGGTGGATAGATGTATGGATGGGTGAGTGGATGGATAGATGTATGTATGTATATATGGATGGGTGGATAGATGTATGGATGGGTGAGTGGATGGATGGATAGATGTATGGATGTATGGATGGGTGGATAGATGTATGTATGTATGAATGGATGGGTGGATAGATGTATGGATGGGTGAGTGAACGGATGGATAGATGTATGGATGTATGGATGGGTGGATAGATGTATGGCTGGGTGAGTGGGTGGATGGATGAGTGGATGTATGAATGGATGGGTGAGTGGATGGATGGATGAGTAGATGTATGTATGTATGTGTGTATGAATGAATGGGCGAGTGGCTGGCTGGCTGGATAGATGTACGTATGTATGAACGGATGGGTGGACAGATGTATGGCTGGGTGAGTGACTGGCTGGCTGGATAGATATATGTATATATGAATGGATGGGTGGATAGATGTATGATTGGGTGAGTGGGTGGATGTATGAGTGGGTATATGTATGTATGTATGAATGGATGGGTGGATAGATGTATGATTGGGTGAGTGGGTGGATGGATAGATGTATGTATGTATGCATGAATGGATGGGTGGATAAATGTATGATTGGGTGAGTGGGTGGATGGATGAATGTATGTATGTATGAATGGATGAATGGATGGGTGGATAGATGTCTAGATGGGTGAGTGGGTAGCTGGCTGGATAGATGTATGTATGTATGAATGGATGGGTGGATAGATGTATGGATGGGTGAGTGAACGGATGGATAGATGTATGTATGGATGGATGGGTGGATAGATGTATGGCTGGGTGAGTGGCTGGCTGGCTGGATAGATGTATGTATGTATGAATGGATGGGTGGATAGATGTCTGGATGGGTGAGTGGGTGGATGGATAGATGTATGTATGTATGAATAGATGGGTGGATAGATGTCTGGATGGGTGAGTGGATGGATGGATGAGTAGACGTATGTATGTATGTGTGTATGAATGGCTGGGCGAGTGGCTGGCTGGCTGGATAGATGTATGTATGTATGAATGGATGGGTGGATAGATGTATGATTGGGTGAGTGGGTGGATGTATGAGTGGATATATGTATGTATGTATGAATGGATGGGTGGATAGATGTCTGGATGGGTGAGTGGATGGATGGATAGATGTATGTATGTATGCATGAATGGATGGGTGGATAGATGTATGGATGGGTGAGTGGGTGGATGGATGAGTGGATGTATAGCACAGAACCTAGCACATAGTAAGCACCCAAATATATGAGCGAATGTGGAGTCTGCCCTATCTTGAAGTTTAGGGAGAGTTTGTGTTTGAAGGAAATCGCCCAGTCATACCCTTCTCAGTCATCTCTTACAGAGCACTGGGTGTGCCCAGCACAGGACAGGCCTTTCAGACATGATGTCACGAGGTGTTCACGATGGAGCTGTGCAGCAGGGGCTGTCATGATGGGCACCTGCTCAACGTCACACAGCACACAAAATGCAGAGCTGGGCTGATCCCAATGCCCCTGGGATTTACCTCTGGGTCTGTGTAGATGTCTGGATCCTTCTGGGGACTCAGGAAGGGGAAGAGGAGGAGGCGGTCCCCACGTCGCAGAGAAAACTCCCGCCCATCTGCCAGGGGCAAGGCCAGATCCACCACAACCTCACGTGTGATGAAGGGCGCCGCGGTGAGCCGGAGGCTCTCGCTCAGCACGCTGTCTGCATGGGTGTGGGTGAAAAGAAGGGTCAGCAGGCTGTCTGCTCACCCCATCCCATGCTTCCCCAACCCACGCGTTCCAGAGGCTGTGTGATTTGTCCATGTTCACACAGGAAAGTTGGAAAAGGCCAGATAAGGAGACGCGATCACGATGACTCTTTAGAGACCTTGGGCATGAAAGGATTCGAGTTTTGAGGCCCAAGAGAAGTTGGGAGGGAGGTGGGAGCCAGGGAGATGCCAGAGAGGATGGAGCATCCAAACAACGGTTTATCCTTGCCCGCCACAGTCTCCCTTCCTCTGAAGCCACCCCCTGGTTATCTTCTGGGAACCAGTCTTGCCCAACTCTCAGGTGTTTGGCCACTGATCATCTGACCCCAGCTCCTTCAACAAACCTGTGACTGGCCTGTGAGAGTGTCCCAACACGATGGGCACATGGTCCATGCAGACCCAGTGATACGCATGGCCGGGACTTTGGGTAGGAAGGGTGCAGGAAGTACAAGGAAGACTGGCACCACCTTAGAATCTACCGATGGGTGCCAGCAGGGTGGAGAGTTGGGCTGGGTGATGGAGAGAGACGGGGTCTGGATGACCCTGTTCAAGTCCTTGGAGCTGCCTGTCCCTGATGTCAGATACTGCTGGTATTTGTTGCTACACATGCCAAATAAAGTCCCTTGTCTGAGTAAGTCCGTTGAAGTCAGGCTATTCTGTTACTTGCAACCAAAATGTCCCATTGAAATCATGAGTCTCGGCCAGCTGAGACTGGGGCCTGGAGATAGCTGGTCTGAGAACATAGGAGGCCCAAGGTTGGAGGATATAGAAGTCGTGTGGGAGGGGGTGTGGAAGAGAGCCATGTTACCCCGTGGGGGTGGGGGGGTCTGGACTTCTCACCGAGCACAGGCATGCTGTCTAGAACCTTCTGTGGGATCGCGGTCATCTGGGAGACAGGCTGCTCTGCACTCCGGAGCATGCCCTCCAGCTCCTCACGGACAGCGGCCAGGGCTTCCGGCTGCTTGAGGAGGAAGAGCAGGAGCCAGAAGGTGGCTGGACCCATGTTTCCCTGAAATGAGACGTCAGGCCTGGAGTGCGAGCCACCTGATCTACCTCAGGACGCAGCCCTGCTCAAGACACAGGAGCCCAGAGGCCAGAGTCAAACATCTACTGGTGGTCAGCATCACCCTCAGCCTTAGGCCATGGCCTACATCTGCTTTGTGTCCTTGGCCCAGCCCAAGGACCTTGAACAAAATCACTGATTCTGAGGCCACCCAGATCATCTTTCTACAGACTTGGTCAAAAGGAAAACGTCTGCAGTTGGAGGAAGACGTGCCGATCGATGAAGATCACTCTCTCTGGCATTACTCTATTTGGAAAATACTGAGACCCAGAAATGAAAAAGTGGCTTAGAATTCAAATGAAGAGGCTAGACCAGGGCATGCTGAGTAGCTTCTGGATAATGCCAATGCCTTCTAAAGGCGCTTTTAATGTTTAAATTTTCTACAATGAACAGCTGTATTTCAATTCTACATCTTGATTAACAGAAGTATGATGGGATACCGAGATCACTGCTTCTATCTGAGGGGGACTGTGTCTGGGGCCCCAGGTCCACTCGGAATAATGGAATACTAAGGGTCTTCAAGGAGCACGCTGACCCAGTCCTTTCCTGACAGGCACTCCCTCACACAGGATGGAGGACAAACACGGATGCTGATGGGGATTGCAGAGCACTAGGAATGGCCTCCACCTCTATCAATAGGAGGATCAATGATGGTTCATCTATCACTCTCACTGCTATCAGTCAATACTGACTCACAGCGACCCCCTGTGGGCTTCTGAGACTGTAACTATTGACGGAGGTAAAAAGCCCAGTTTTTCTCCAAGGCGCTGCTGGTGGTTTCAAACTGCCGACCATGTGGACCACAGCCCAGTGAGTGACCACTACACCACCAGGCTCCATAAGGATATAGGCAGTCCTTAAAAATACGTCAGCTCCAGGAAAATCGTCAAACAGAATCAAACCCGTGGTTGTCCAGTTGATGCCAACTCATAGCGACCCTACAGGACAGGGTAGAACTGCCCCTGGGGGTTTCCCAGACTGTCAGTCTTTTTAGACACAGGCTGCCATGTTTTTTCCTGCAGGACAGGTGATGGGCTTGACCTTGGGGTGAGCAGCCAAGGGATTTTTCACGACTACGCCAGCAGGGATACTAACACGACTACACGACTCACTCATTGCCCTCCAGTCAGTTCGGCCTCATAGTGACCCTGCAGGACAAAGTGGAGCTGCCTCTGCGGGCTTTAGAGACGGTAACTCTTTATTGGAGCCGAAAGCCTTGCCTTGCTCCCAGGGAGTGGCTGGTGGTTTCAAACAGCTGACCTTTTAAGTTTTATAATAAGAAACAGCAGGCAAAATAGGGCTGCAGCTGTGGGTCACCTCTCAGGTACAGACAAACAGGCTGCAGGCTTGGTTTTCTTGGTTCAGAGCTTTAGGCTCATGGCTCCAGGGACCTGTCCAGTCAATGGGCCTAAGAGTGTTTTAAGATGGTAATCAAGCAGCCATCAAGCTCAGAAGCAACAAAGCCCACATAGAAGAAGCACACCAGCCTATGCAACCACGAGGTGTCGAAGGGATCAGGTATAAAGCATCATCAGAACAAAAAATCTTACCATAGTGAGTGATGGGGGGAGTGCGGAGTGGAGACCCAAAGCCCATTTGTAGGCCACTGGAGATCCCCTTGCAGAGGGGTCTCGGGGAGGAGATGAGCCACTCAGGGGGCGATGTAGCAACGATGCCAAATACAACTTTCCTCTAGTTCCTAAATGCTTCCTCCCCCACTATAATGATCCAAATTCTACCTTGCAAGTCTGGCTGGACCAGAGGATGTACACTGGTACAGATAGGAACTGGAAAGACAGGGAATCCAGGGCGGATGATCCCTTCAGGACCAGTGGTGTGAGTGGCGATACTGGGAGGGCAGAGGGAGAGTGGGTTAGAAAGAGGGAACCGATTACAAGGAACTACATGTGACCTCCTCTCTGGGAGATGGACAACAGAAAAATGGGTGAAGGAAGACGTCGGATAGGGCAAGATATGGCAAAATAATAATTTATAAATTATCAAGGGCTCATGAGGGAGGGGGGGGAGTGGGGAGGGAGGGGAAAATGAGGACCTAATGCCGGGGGCTTAAGTGGAGAGGAAATGTTTTGAGAATGATGAGGGCAAGAAATGTACAAATGTGCTTTACACAATTGATGTATGTATGGATTGTGATGAGTTGTATGAGCCCCTAATAAAACGATTTTTTAAAAAAAGAGTGTTATAGGAGTTTCTGTCCTATCTCCTACTTTGACGAGTGGTAGCTGGGGTCTGAAAACTGGCAGCCGTCCAAGACACACGCACCGTCTCTCCATGCCTGGTGGAGCGCAGCAGGAGATCCCGGACTGGGAGAAGGAATGGCCTGCCCAGTCTTAGAACCAATCAGAGAGGAAGCCTCGGAGCTCCCTGGGAGTTCCTCCCACGCCTCAGGCCTCGCTGTGTCCACCACGTCAATGGCCAAGGGACCGTGGGCAATAAATAACTCAGTGCTGGCTTCACTCAGCGCCAAGGCCGGGTTTGACAGGGGCCACTGCTCATTAATTACAGAGCTGGGCGGAACCCACCGTGTTGGCTTTTGGGAAAAAGCTGTGGCAGGTGGAGACAGGCTTCTCCCCACTGCACAGATGTGTGGGAGTGTGCACGTGGGTGTGTGAGCATGTGTGTGTCAGTGTGAGTGCACATGAGTGCGTGTGGGTGTACATGTGGCGTGTGCATGTGGGAGTGTGTCTATGTGTGCACACATGTGTGTGACATCACACAGCCACCAGAGATCCTAAATGAGCTCTCTTGGAAGCTGAGCTCCTTCTCCTGTGGGGCCTTGCCTCAGTTTACCCAGGACCTTTCCGCTCTAACCCCATCTCCCCTCTCTTTTCTATCCATGTCAGTAGCTCATCCCCGGGGGGCACCCACTGTGTGCAAGTCCAGGGTGCCATCTGTTGCCTCCTCAGGGTACTGAGGTCACCCAGTCAGTCCGTGGGGAGGGGAGGCGCCCACGGCCACACCTGCCCTGTATCCGTTCCCTCTCTTTTGGGTAATGGCACCCCATTTTCCTTCAGAGGACCATCTCCATTTAGGTGACATCCATAAGGGTCCTATGAGAGCTGACCCACCCCTCGTGTGACATGTGACGCCACCCTGGCCACTCAGGAAGCCTCTGGTGGGGGACACACACAACTCAAGGCTGTCTAATCAGTTCCAGTGATTCACTCGGATCTGACAGGGCTGGTCACACCCACCTCCAGGCCTTTCCCAGAAGGCCTCCCGGCTCTCCTGCCAATATATACCCCCCCACCCCCACACCCCCACCCAGCGAGCAACTGGGTCTCTTCTTTGTCTTCCTGACTCTAATCACAGGACAGCCCGAGCCCCAGGGTCTGGCCCCCTTCTCCATCCTCCCTGTCCCCAGGAATCTCTTCCAGTACAGTGACTCTAATCATCACGTCCACACGGACAACTCGCACGCTCCCCACGCCCCCCACCCCAGCCCCGTCCCCAGCCCCATCCTCAAACCTCAACTTCTTATCCTGGGCACCCTGCTGGCCTCCACTCAGTTCTCACGCCCCACAACCCAATCCAGTCTCCCAAACCCTCTCCTTCCCAGACTGCCTCAGCCCTGCCCACATCCTTCCCACCCTCAGGTCACAATTAGGGGGTGGGTGGTGGGTGGGAGTCCTGTTAGTTGAGACCTTCTTCCAGGGTCCCATTCAACAGTCAGCCCTGTTGACTCCACCTTGAAATATGTAAATCCATAATCTAACCCCTCAGCCCAGGCTGCTTCCATGCTCCCATGCGATTATCTGTTCTTGGCAGCAGAAGGCAGGCTGTATTTCTCCTCTGCTCAGAAGAAAGACTAAAGTCCTCGGGCCCACCACCGTCATCCCTACCCCAGGGCCTTTGCACTTGCTATTCCCTGTGTCTGGAAGCCCTTCGTTCTGTCTGCCGACCTGGCTCCATCCCTCCCTTCCTAGGATTCTCTCCCAGTGAGGTCTTCCACAACCACCATAGTGAAGGGGCTCCCACCCCTCCACAATCCAATGTTCTCTGCTTCTTTTTTTCTCCAGAAAACGTACTCCCCTGGATAGACATTTACATAAACAAACAAGCTGACTCGGGCTGCTCCTGAGGGTTTCCGAGGCTGTGAATCTCCGCAAAGGTAGACGGCCACCTCGTTGTCCTGCAGAGTGGCTGGTGGGTTCCAACCGCTGACCTTTGGGGTAGCAGTCCAACCTTAACTCACTGTGCCACTTCAGCTCCTGCTTTTCCAGGCTGGTTTGCTCATTTCCCAGGGTCCATCTTCTCCGTAGGAGCCCTGGGGGTGTCAGGGGTTAGTAGTTGGGCTACAAGGTCAGCAGTTTGACCTTGAGCCTTTGTGCCCTGGTGGATTTCCAGCCCCAGGAACCCACAGGGGCAGTTCTACGCCATCCTGCGGGGTCGCTGTGAGTCAGCATGGACTCGATGGCGGGGAGCTTTGAGATCTCTCACCGGAATGCCAGCTCCGTGAAGACGGGGCTTTTGCCTGTCCTGTTCCCTGCTGTCGCAGCTCCTAGAAGGTGGCTGGCACTTCACGGCACTCACTGAAGTCGGGTCTTTCAGGCATCACCTCCCTTCACCCTCACAACCACTTCACCTCCACTCTACAGATGGGGACACTGAGGCCCAGAATGTGTAAATGACCCGCCAGGGTACAAATCCAGGCAGCAGTGCCGGAGCCCGAAGCTCCTGAGCTCCACAGACTATTGGGCCTGTTCTCACAGCCTGAACTCTTCCAGGGTCTTTCCAGCTGCCTGGAAGCAGCCGACGCTGGCAAGGACACCCTGTGCCCGAGGCTGCCTGGTTGTACCGGCCACCAGAGGCTGCTCCCTGGTCTCCTGCGCTCCAGCCCCGGGCCGGCCTCCAGTTCTGCTGATGGGGAACACTTCTGCAAGGGGTTCTGGGGACACTTTGAAGCTCCCAGGCATCTCTGCCCATAAATATGTTATTAGGCACTAATGGGGGCACAGCTGCTGATTAAACACAGCCTCCCCCACCCCCAGCCTGCCAGGACAGTTAATGGCTCTAAGAGAAAACTAAAAATAAGCCTTGAGTCGATGGGCAAGGAATCACTCAGAGTCTATCCAATGTCACAGCTAAGGTGGGGGGCCTTAGCTGTGGGCGGTCAGGGTGGGAGATTGCCGTACCCTCACCTTTTCCTTCCTCTCACCCTACCCTCTGGACTCTGCCTTCCAGAAGCTTCCAGAAGCTGTCCACATCTGCCAGACGCCCCAGCTGCTGCCTACCTGCCTCATCTTCCTCACCGGCGTCACAGCAGGGGCCCCACCACCCCTCGGTGTCTCTATGATCCTTGCTCCCTTGTAGCAACCAGAGGGATTCTGTTCAAACCAAAGACCGAGCCTGCCCTTCCTCTGCCCCCGACACTCTCAGGGTGCCGCCTTCCTATGGCCCCTTCCCTTTGTCACCAAAACCAAAAAGCCAAACTCGCTGCCATCGAATCCATCCTGGCTCACGGTGACCCTACAGGACAGGGCAGAACTGCCCCGAGCGTTTCTGAGACTGTAACTGTATTCAGGAGTGGAAAGCCCCCTCTTTCTCCTGAGGAGTGGTTGTTGGTTTTGAACTGTGGGCTTTGCGGTTAGCAGCCCAACCTGTAACCACTATGTCACCAGGGCCCCTGCCCTCCAGCACAGTTGTCCTCAATGGCTCTCCTTCAGCTACACTGGACTCCTGTTTCCCAGAGGGCTGGTGCGTGCGGTCCAAGCGCAAGGCCTTTGCACTGCTGCTTCCCCTCCCTGCCTGGAATGCTCTGCCCCCACTCTTCCTCAGACCGCTCAGCCAGCTCCTTCTACCGTCCAGGGCTCGGCTCACATGCCCCCTCCTCATAAAGGCCTCCTCAACACCCTGGCTGGAGCAGACCCCAGGATCTCTCCAGCCACGGCCTCATTTTCTATCCCAGAACCTGCACCTAACGTCACCAAGGGCGTTGCCTGGAGTGTCCCCTGACTCACGACTGAAGCACACACAGCATGGGGCGGGGACTCTGTGGTCTGTGGGACAGTCTCAGTGGAGCTTTCTGAGCATTCCCCAAATGAGCAGACTGTCCACTTCGAACATGCCATGGCCATGAAATCAGAGGAAGGCACAGGACCTTCCAGACGCAACAAGAGGAAGGAGGCAGGATGAGGAAGGGCGGTGTGTGCTCTGGAATGAGATAAGCTGAAAAGGACAGGGCGGGACAGCTGGGGAAAGTGGAATGTGGACCAGGTATTGGAGAAGAACCCTGTGTCCACAAGGAGCCTCTTGCAGTTGGCCTCTGCACTGGGGTCGTGCATGAGAATGATCCCACTCCCAGGAGGGTCAAGCTACAGCAGCCAGGACCAAAGGGGCGTCGTGTCCACTCCGTATAACACACGGTTCAACCCAATAATCAGAGTGCGAGAGAGAGCGAGAGACACAGGAAACATGGTGAGAGGTCAAGTGCTGGCGAGACAGAGAAAGCACAATACACTACCCCCCTACTGAGTATCTATAACTTTGACCGTTTTCCAAATTTCAAAGAATGTCCAAATGCTGTGAAAGGAACAATTCTATCTCTGATGCTGTTTGACAGTTTAGAAATCAGGAAGCAGGGGGTGTATCACATGCCCACTCCTGGACACACTCACAAGGGCACACCTCCACACATCTATATATGCAACTTCACACCTGCCTGCCCACCTTTGCAAACTCACACATCCTTGTGCCCTCAGGGCGAGAACCTGCAGAAACAGAGCCACCCACACAAACCCACACGCACACCCCACACACTCTCGTGCACACACACACACACACACACACACACACCCTGGAACGCTGTGCCTACCTGCGTGGCCCAGAGCTGCAGCACCAGGGCTCGGGCCTGCATCTCTTCTGACACTCCCATCTCCTGCAGGTGTAGCAGGTAACTTTCCAGCCATGTGCTCCGGTGGGCCCGGGTGGCCAGGTTGGTTGGGGACAGCAGCTTCCACAGGTGACCTTTGACCCTGCTCACACGGTCCTTATCGCCTGCAGGAACAGAGCACAGACAGGGTGGGTGGGGTGGGGAGAGGGGATCCATCCTCAGCCCAGGGCTGCCCTGCTCTGCCTCTGCCATGAAGCCAAGAGTCTTCTGGGGGACTCTCGATGGGGACGTTCCCTTGTGATGAGGTTACAGGGACAGGTCCAGCTTCTGGGGTTCCCTTTCAGTGTGGACTTGCTTATTGTCTGTGTCACCCCCACTGGGAAGGGGCGAGGGGTCTTGCCTCCTGAGAGGTGGGGGCCTTGTCTGTTTCATTCCTCTCTCTGTCCTTAGCAACTGACTTGTAGTAGATGCTCAATAAATATCTGTGTTAACTCAAAGGCATTTCTTTACAGAGCCCGGGAAGGGCCACAAAACCTGCAGTACCCCCACTAGCATCTGATCCTGAGCAAAGCGAGCCGCAAGCATGCAGAATCTGGCAGGGTGGGCTCAGCACAGCGCCACTCAGGGGACATGAGACACGGCCTATGTGGCCATCGCAGACTTAGATCAGGGTCTCGAACGCAAATACCTCCAAGGAAGGCAGGTGGAGTCAAGGAGGAGGGCCAGGAAGAGGCCCCACAACTCTTCCAACAGGTTCCCCTCCCCAGACAACGGCCCAGCACAGTCAAGGGCCTGAACATTGAAAAGGAGAGGAATTTTCTGACTGTAAAGTGAGCCTCTAACGCAGACATCTTTAAGCCCTCTGCTGGCCACAAAGACCAGCCCCCGTTCACAACCAGCATTGAAGAGCACGCTGTGCCCTGGAAACCCGGGCAGCAGTGAGGAAAGGAAGGAGCTTTTCATGGGCAGAGAGACGCAAGCTGATGCCATGGGGTGCACAAGACGGGAAACAGCATCCTCTTCAGTGTCTGAAAGCTACAAGCCAGTGGTCCACAGGTGCGTGTAGATACGTGTGTATGTGAGTGTAAGTGTGTGTGTATGAGTGAATGTGTGTGAGAGTATGTGTGTGAATGTATGAGTGTATGTATGTGAGTGTATGTGAGTGTGTGCACATGTGTGAATGTGTATGTATGTGAGTGAATGTGTGCGCGTGTGAGTGTGTGCATGTGAGTGTGTGTGTGTGAGAGTGTGTGTTTGTTCCAGCTCACCCAGTGGCATTGCAAAGGAGAGGCCTGGCAATCTACCATCAGGAAAAATAAATAAACTGAGCCCACAGTTCTTCCCAACGTACACGGAATCACGGTGAGTCAAGGTCGACTCCCCAGCAATGAATAGGGTAGGAATGTCCACTGCCCCGGTGGTGGGTACAGTACTGTGTTTGCCATTTGCCATTAAGAGCCATGTGGCTTTATGAAGGGCTTAAGGGTTATTGTTGTTGGTTTTGTTTGTTGAGATGGCTGTGTAAATATTCACAATGTGCATCTTAAAAAAAAAAATCCCTCCAGGGTCTTTTATCCCCAAACCTCCATATTGGTCTGAGTGGCTTACAGTCAAGGGAGGAAAAGTACAGCTGAAATGGACTTAGGAGTCTTCAGCGACAAGTGCATTTCCACCAAACAAACTGACAAAGAACAACAAACAAAAGCCTTTGAAAATCTCACCGTGGAGAACCGCAGCTTCAGCCACTCAGCATGACAGCTGTTCCCATTTTCACATTCAGAAGTGAAAATAAACTTTGCCGGAATAAGACAAACAACTGCCATCAATAAAAGCAAGGTGGCCCTGAGGGTCTGCATGTCCCTGTGCTCCGTGTGAGCGTTTCTGCAGGAGGAATTTCTACACTTGGAAATAGAGGGCCAGAGGGTGTGCATTCTGCGTTTAGGGACAGGCTCTGCCAGACTGCTCTTCTGAAACGCCTGCATCACGCCAGCCCCGCACCCAGGTCTGGGACCCACCCTTCCCACTAGCCTCTGGGACCAACTTTTCCAGGTGAGCATTTTTCCTCCAACACCGCCACCTGCTGCCCGGACTGGGAAGTGCAGCCTTCCTACACCCAGCGCCCCCTACTCCCCTGGGGCCTCAGAAAGGGGATTCCAGGACAACGTGGAAACCTGTTCTTTCTTGCAAAAGCTGGGATGTGTACTGAGAGCCTACCAGGTGCCGGGTGTTCCATACCACGGCTTTGCCACCAGTCAGACCAATTTCCCATTGTGCTGCTTCTGCCATCTACCAGCTGTGTGCCTATGATCAGTGACGTCACCCTCCAGAGCCTCAGTTTCCCCAGACAGGGATAAGGCCAACCTTCCAGTACAGACGGCAGGATTCATAAGAGAATGAGTAACATGGCTTCTTGTTAGCTGCCACTGAAGGGCCTATGACTGAAGACCACGTTGCAAGAACAAAGCGTGTCCCGCCCTGCCCCACCCTCACAATCAGGTTTTCACCGGACGGGTTTGGTAAATTGATCACCAGACCTTTCTTCCTAGTTCGCCTTTGTCTCTAGCTCCGCAGAAACCTGCTCAGCGTCCTAGCAACAATCCGGTGGTGGGTGGGCATGCGAGGCACTGGCCGGAAGTCCAACCCTGGGTTCCCAAGTGGGAGGTGAGAACTCCACCAGAGTCCCCAACACCGCCACAAAAGATGATCGGGAACACGAAGCGGCCGGTTCACGGGAAGGAGCGGCAAAGACCTGGTGAAATGCTCAAAGACTTCCCCACCACGGGCGTGGGGAACAGCTGAGGACAGCCAGAGGCCTTTGGGGGTTTTGGGCCCATCAGATTGGCCGGGAGTTTGAAGGCTGAGACCCCCATGCTGACACGGCTGTGGGGAAGTGCTAAGGACAACAGGACGGCAAACAAGCGGAAGATGGTGAACATCTGCGAGGGAAGAGAGTGGACTCGGTCAGGCCCTTTGGGCGGATGGGTCAGGGCTCGAACCAGGGCCTCCTGCGTGGAAGGCTAGAATGCTGCCTCTGAGCCCCCAGTGCCCCCACGTCAATGATACCTTACAAAAAAACCCCCTCTGGCAGCCCCATCCGCTTGCTGTTCTTGAAACCCAGCAGGGCAGGAGTCAGCTCTAGCGGTTCTCAGGGTTCAGTGCTTCATGTGGTGGGGACCCCCAACCACAAAATGATTTTCGCTGCTACTTCATCATTGTCATTTTGCTACTGTGATGAATCGGGCGAAGCCTGTGAAAGGGCCGTTTGATCCCCAAAGGGGTCTCGACCCACAGGTTGAGAACTGCTGTTCTTAACTGTATCCCCCCCCACAACATGTTATTGTTCTTGTTTATGGGGAGGAAGCATTCAACAAACAGCCTTGTAGCAAAACAAACAAACACACCAAACAGTGTAAACATAGAAGTTAAGAAAGATAACGCGCATGTGTGTAGACATGTTTAGGGAAAGCTCTGGTAGCACCCACTCCAAGCAGGTCCCTGTGGTTACCTCTGTGCAGAGGAGAGGGGGACTAGGGTGGGGACAGAGTGGAGAAGAATGCATGATTCTCTACATTATTCTAAAGGGTTGTACTTTTTCTCATGAGCACACGCTCCTTTAAGCACTTCTGAGAACAAATACGACAAGGACAAAAGGTATGCGGGCAGAGTCCCAGGCCCCAGGGCAGGCAGACGGGCTCAGTCCCGTCTCCAAGGCCCCTTTGGCACTGGGCACCCGAAGGCCTCCGCTGGGGGGGGGGGGGTCTGACCCCCGCGGCCCGCTCCCCCCACCCCCGCCACTGTCTCTGGGTTGGGATGTCTTCGTCCTTCACAGCCTCTGATCATTCACCTTGAACTCAGCTCCCTCTCTCCCACCAAGGCCCCCAGGATGCTCACCCACTGACAGGGAGCCGCGCGCCAGTTTGGGGAGCAGCAGGTCGAGCTGGCGGAAGGTGTGGAAGACGTCGGCCGAGTGGGCACGGTCCTGGGCTTGGCTCTGCGGGGTGCGGGGCAGTGCCTCCACTCCGTACTGGGTCAGGTAGCCGGCTCTGGGAACAGCAAGCAGATGGGAGGGTGAACACTCCCGGTCCAGCCCACCCCCAGCAGCCCACAAGTTTGTCTGCATCCCTGCACCTCCCATCTGATGAGCACCTACTGTATGCCAGAGGTGCCCCGGTGGGATGGTGGATTCAACATTTGGGCTGCTAACTGCAAGGTTGGCAGTTCAAACCCACCTGCCTCCATAAGGATTTTACAGCCTCGGAAACCCTTAGGAGCAGTCCTATACTGCACTGCACAGTCCCTGGCAATGCGTTGGTGTCAGCTCGCTGCAATGTGCTTGGCATGGTACCGTATGCCAAAGGAACCCGGGGGCACATGCTTGCTCCCTCAGGTAGCTGGTAGGTTAGAACTGCTAGGAGCAGAGAGCCTGGCCCCCCTCTCCCCCTGCACCTGCACTGCGCAGGAAGGTGGTCGGCCCTTGGAAAATATTCAAGGGGCAGATGGATGAGTCGTTAGAACTTGGCCCTAAAAATATTGATCTCGGAGAAACATTACATGGTCACCAAGATTCTGGCTTTGGCGTCACCCAAGCCACCCTTCTTCCTTCCCCCTGGACCCATTCATTTCCCTGTCAACCAGCTTGGCTTCCATACCTCCAGGAATGGAGAGCTCACCACCTTCCTGCGCCATTAACCCACCCCCAAGCCTGCGGCCAGCAAGTCCATTCCAATTCCTGGCCACCCTCTGCGGTCTCAGGGTGTCGATCTTTACAGGAGCACACATGCCTCATCTCGCTTTTGAAGAGCGGCTGGTAAGGGTTTGAACTTCCCACCTTGTGGTTAGCTGTCCAACACATATCTGACAGTCCCGTCGCACGAAAAGGAGGCAATCCTTCAGAACACCCCAACACTTTCTGCAATCTTCCTCTGGGAGCCTCTGAACTGGCCAGGAGGAATTCTCTCTCGCCATCCCAAGACCCTGGGTCCCCTCTTCTTGGGACAAAAGCCACCCTCTCCTAGCAGGAGAGTGTTGGAGGGGCCGCCCACAGACTGGATTCCTTGCCAGAAGGTGTTTGGCTTGGTCAGGAGAGATTTCCTAAAAATGAGCTGACCTTCCACTGTAAAACCCGGGAAAATTCACACCCAAATCTGGAGCAAGGGACAAATCAGGGTGGGTCACAGCCACTCTCTTCATTGTGCAGGGACTGGCCAGCCCTGGGGCTGCAGCCACACAGCAGGTCAAAGAAGGCGGCTGCTTCCAGGAGAGGGTCATGCTGGGAACGCAGGCCCTGGGGCAGCCCGGCCAGGCCCCAGCGGTGGGATTCTGGGCAGAGGAGGGAGGCTCTTTAGGCCTCAGTGTTCTCATCTGGCCAATGGGATTTGCCACACACCAGCCTCACAAAGCTGTTGTGAGGGATAGATGCCCATGCGTGAGCCCACACAGAGCTACGTGGATGCACACACGTCACGTCTGTGGACTCACACGGGTGTACCTGTGAAAGGTGTGCTTTATTTCGAAACTATGGGGAGCTAGCTTTTTAGAGGAGTTGAACTCCCTTTTCTGAAGTGATGGGCAGTTGAAGATACTGCCCTAACCCAAGAAATGTCCTCGATCCGCTGCACTGCCCTGCCCATGCCCTCCAGCCCCCGAGTCGGCAGCCCATCCCCTCGTCCCCATAAATCACCCAGGTTCTTGCCATCCTTCTGCCACCTCCCTGGTCCAGGCCATCCGTGCCTCCCCCTTCAACAGCAGCCTCCCTTCTTAACTCCACCCCTTCACCCATAGCCGGGGGAGGGGGGTCAGCTACGAACTCTTTAAAATGAGTTGTGTCAAGCCTCTACTTAAACCCCCAGTTGAAGCACCCCATTGAAGGATCCCCAATGGTGCAATGGGCTACATTTTGAGCTGCTAACCCCAGGGTCCTTGGTTCGAGCCCACCAGTTGCCTTTTGTGGGGAAAGATGAGATTCTGCTCCAGTAAAGATTCCACACCAGAAGAACTCCGGATGGAAGCCCAGGAACAAAGTGGGCCCTCCCTCAAAACTACCTGTAACCCTTGTACCAAAACTCCCTGGTGGAAGAGGAAGCAAAGGATGGCCACCCCAAGACTGTGGAAATGGTGATCACTGGAGCTTGGGTGGGATGGGGCCCTGGCTTCGTGGGTGTCCAATGAAAGGGGACCCATACCCACCATATATCTCATATCTCAATGTTCCTCTTGTATTAACATGACAGGTTTTAATCAGCTAGGCAAGGATCTGCCCTTATAAGGAATGTTACAAGAATGTAGCACCAACCCCTGAGCTCAATATAAACAGAGCTCGATCCATTAAGAAACCAATTTGTACAAAGCAACAACTCCTGGACTGCAGCTCACAGTTGGACTATATTCACATCAACTCCTCAACAGGACTGTACATTCTATGTCATTGGATAAGTTATTCATGTTATCAATGTAATTACCTTATACCCCAGGCTGATGATTGATAATGCTTTCTTTTCTTGTTTGTTTCTTTGGCTTTTTGTTTTCCTGCTTCTTGTTTGTTTTTGGCTTTGTCATAATATGACTGCAGACGTCAACCAGAGTCGTTCTTAACTCTTGGACAAGCAGATGGATTCTGGGCTCCCACTTCATTCTACCCCTAATCCAAGAAGAGTTCATTCTGATAACGTGGCCCTGCTTCACACTCACCTTCATGAAGAGATCGATGAAGACAAGGATGCTATAGCAAAGTGTGGTGAAGAAAGCAGATGGTGACCGGCTATTAGACTAGTGTCTGGGGTCTTAAAGGCTTATATTCAAACAAGTAGCCATCTAAGCAAGGTGTCCACATCAAAAAAGCACACCAGTCTGTGTGATCCAAAGATGATAACAAAATCCAAATATGATGAAGGGGAAAGTATCAGAGCTTACTTAATTTGTGAATGCCCAATTTTTAGACGGCTATGGAGGGAGTCCAAAATCCATCTGCAGAGTGTAGTCAGATTAAGGCTCTAACAGCTTTCCTATCAGACAGAGATGATTGTGAACTCAATTAGGGTGGATCGAACCACATGTAACAGGATACTTGGCCAGTTGACCTCCCTCTTGACCCAACGTGAATTTGTTCTAGGCTCAAGTATTTCTCGTTTGTTCCACAACAGAAATTTCTTCTGTGGCTTTTAAAATATTCTTGGTTGTCTTTCTTTCTTACTTTTTATCTTTATACTGTCATTATTTTTTCTTTCTGTTTCTTTGTTGGTGCTTCTGTTAGGTTTCCCAGTCTATGAAACACAGAGGGAGTGATGCACAGAGACAATAACGGATGCAATGGTTTAACGGGGAGGGCGGGGAGTGAGGGCATTTGGAGAGCAAACAATGAATGTGGGAGGGAGCGTTAGGACTTATTGTGATGATGTTTATACAACTCTTTTTAAAAGCAACTTCACTGTGGGAGTGTATGATATGTGAATATTATATAAAGAAAACTACTGAAAAACAGGAACAAGAAATCACAGCTGACCAGTGGTTACCAATGGGTGAAGGAGGAAGAGTCTTTGCTCAGGGAGCATTGAGTTGATGTTAACGATGGTGGCATAATTTGGAAAGGGATATCAATAACGGTTGCACAACACAAAGAGTCCAATCAAGGGCACTGAATCATACATGGAGAAGTTGTTGAATTGGAGAACGATTTGTTGTGTATATTTTTGCCACGATTTTTACAAGTTATGCTGATAACAATGAGTACAGGGAAGAAGAGACTGTTCTAAAATTAATGATGGTCATGATTCTACAGCTCTTCTGGATATGATTGAACTATTGAATTGTGTGATATGTGGGTGAAGTGCCCATAAAACCATTTCAAAAAACAAACAAAAAAGCTGTTTCAAAAAAAAAGATTTCAAAAGTGTCTGCAGGTTCACTATGAGTTGGAATGACTCAACATCGGGGAGTCTGAGTGAGCGCCCTTCTTACTGCCTGACTGCCACCCAGTCGGCTACTACTCACATCACCTCAGGTAAAACAAAGCAATCGGCTTCTAACCTAGGGAGCCCCTTCCAGCACTGTAGCGAGCAATGTTCTGCTTGGTTCTCCAGGCTCTCACCGTAAACGCTGTCCCATTGAGCTCTGATGGCTGAGTATTCTTTTTTTTTTTTGAGCCCTGGTATTAGCTCCTCTGTTTTCCCTCCCTCCCCCAGGCCGAGTCTTCTAAGGTGCCCACACCTCAACTGGTGTGACTCTGTTTTGTGAAACTCACTGCCATTGAGTTGATTCAGCCTCACAGCGACCCTGTAAGACAGAGCAGAACTGACCCTGTGAGTTTCTGAGGTTGTACCTCTTTATAGGAGCAGAAAGCCTCATCTTTCTCGTGTGGTGTGGTTGACACCTCACCTTGTAACCCGCTAGACTGCCAGGGCCCCTGATTCCCCTGAAAGACCTGTCTATTGTTTAGTTGAAAATTGAGCCACGAAGGTGACCATTTCCAGACCCTGAGGGTGACCGAGGGCCATCGTCTTGGACTTCCACCAGTCTCTATCCAGCCAGTACGCCTGGTCTCTTCTACACAGTTACAGCCATCGGCCTTTGATGTTTCAAAGTGCTTGCCTACTCACAAAATGTGTGGGGTTCACCTGCCTCACCTCCGCCCAGGGTTGACTCGATCCCAGAAGCTGAACTCCACCCAGGAGGAAGCACTAGGGGACTCACCTGAGCAGGAAGTTGTAGGAGAAATCAAGGAGCCCCATCTCGTGCCAGCCATCGCCTGCCTCTGTGGCGTCACCCAGCAGGACGGTGCGGAGGTTGGTATCCATGGCTTCCGTGAGCGCCTGGAGGTCTCTGTGCAGCAGTGTCCTGGGGCAGGGAGCAGGTGTGAGAGGTTGACCCTGCAAAGGCCCACAGGCACCTACCTCCCCCAGGCCCCAGGGTTCCAGCGCACAAGATCCTCATTGGAAAAGGGGGCCTTTAGGAGACTGACTTAGAGAAGAGGCTGTTACTGTTATCATCGTCAATAACAATGACAGCAAGCCCACGAACAAAACCCGCTGCCATCCATTCTGACTCATAGTGACACCACAGGACAGAGCGGGCGGCTTCTTTGGATTCCCCAGACTACAATCTCATCTTTCTCCCCCAGAGCGACTAGTGGGTTTGAACAGCCAACCTTGTGATGAAAAGTCCAACACTGTCACCGCGGCTCTTTACCACAAGGATGCTCTGAAACAGCGGTTCTCAACCTGTGGGTCGCCACCCCTTTGGGGGTCAAAAGACCCTTTCACAGGGGTTGCCCAATTCACAACAGTAGCAAAATTACAATTATGAAGTAGCAACGAAAATAATGTTATGGTTTGGGGGTCACGGCTGCATAAGGAACTCGATGTAAGGGTTGCAGCATGAGGAAGGTTGAGAGCCACTGCTCTAAAACAAAGCCTTGCTGTCACGAAGTCAATTCTGACTCATGGCAGCCCTCAGGACAGAGGAGACGTGTCTCTGGATTTCAGAGACTGTAACTGTTTCTGGAGTGGAAAGCCCAATCTTTTCCCCATAGAACTGCTGGTGGTTTCAAACTGCCGACCATGAAGATCTCAGCCCAATGCATAACCATCCCTTTAAAACAAAAGAAAACAAAACAAAAAATTCACTGCCATCAAGTTGATTCTGACTCTTAGTGACCCTGTAGGACAGAGTAGAACTGCCTCTGTAGGTTTCTAAGAAAAAAGCCCGTCTTTCTCCCTAGGAGAAACTGGTGACTTCGAACTGTGGACCTTTGGGATAGCAGCGCCACTAGGATTCTGCTTCTTGGTTAGTTCATGAGGGAAAGCCTGCAGAGGGAGCCCATGAGCTGCCAGGTAAGAAAGGCTTTATGATGCTTTCCTTGGAACACCATTGGAAAATGAAGAGACAGGATTCAGTGAGGTAATGGAGGCAAAGAGGTTAGCATGGCACCCAGCACACTGTCAATACATGAGAGTTAGCACAGCCCCTGACCCAGGCCCAGCTGTCCCCCAAGTCCACTCCAAGCACTCATTCTCCGTGCAAATGGTGGCCCTCAACAGATGTGGCCTCCAGGCCCAGAAGACATGCTGGGCAGCTTGTGAGAAATCCCAGAATCCCTTAGCGCGGACACTGGAGGACACTGGGAATCTCTCGGAGTGCCTGGGGGGTAGGCTGCAGCCTACTGTGGACTGCTGGTGTCCATAGAGCCTCACCAGCACCCCTGGAAGGACAGCACCCAGGACACGTGGACTCAGAATGCTCCTAGCAGCTGTCCCACAAGGCCAGGGCCATAACTGGGTAAAATCTGCGTCCATGGGGCTGGCTTCCCCAGCTTTGGTCATCCTCAGAACATAGGTTCTCTAGATGCTTTTCCTAACTCTGGGGGAGGGGGGGTGTTCTTCCAGGAAATAGAAGCCTAAAGATTCCCACCCTGAGTGAGCTCCCCAGGGCCAAACACAGGTGCTATTTGCCTTGCTGTTGAAGATCAAGGACGGCAGCCTTCAATGGATTCTAACTGCAAGTAAAGAAGACCAAAGTCCTCACAAGTAGACCAGTAGGTGACGTCATGATAAATGGAGACAAGGTCGTAGGGGTCAAGGATCTCATCCTGCTTGGATCCACAGTCAATGCTCATGGGAGCAGCGAAGATCAAACAGCACATTGCATCGGGTAGATCCGCTGCACGAGAGCTCAGCAGTTGGAAGTGTTGAAAACTAAGGGCGTCACTCTGAGGACGAGGGGTGCCTGACCCACGCCACGCTATTTTCGGTGGCCTCTGATGCCTGCGAAAGTCGGGCATTGAATAAGGAAGACGGAAGGAGAGTCAATACCGCTGAGTAAAGGTGCTGGTGGAGAATACCAGAAGTACCATGGACAGGTCCAAAGAACAAACAAATCTGTCTTGGGACACGTACGGCCAGAGTGCTCCTGAGAAGGCGGATGGCAAGACTCGCCTTTGGACACGTTGTCAGGAGAGCCCAGTGCCTGGAAAAGGGCATCATGCTTGGTAAAGTAGGAAGGAGGCACAGCAGAAGGAGCCCTGGGTCAGATGGAGGGACACGGTGGCGGCCGCAGCGATAGGCTGGAGCAGGACAATCGTGAGCACGGGACAGGACTGGGCCAGGTTGGAACTGACTCGATGGCACCTGGCAGGCGCCATCATCTCAGGTGATAAGGGATGAGCTGAGGAGTCGGCAGAACCGGGTGCAAATTCAGGTTCCACCACTGACGGGCGGTGGACCTCAGACAAGTCCCTTCACTTGTCTGAACCTCAATTTCCCCATCTGCACAGTAAAGATGAGAAAATCCACCTCCTGGGGTTAACATACACACACAACGTATACACACAAAGGTGTGCCCATCAGATGCCTGGCACGGGCCGGGACTTCAAATCCTGCCCGACGCCATCCCACACCCCCTATGTCTGGAAGCATGACCAGCACATAGTAGGCTCTCAGCTGCTTGCTGAGTGAATGCAGAGGAAACAGGTCCTCTGGTTGATACAAGGATTCCTTGTATTGAAGGAGCTGCACCGCCTCCTAGCCCCGGGACCTGGAGCAAATTGCTTCCCTCTCTGAGCCTCAGTGCCCTCAGCTGTAAATGAGGCTGCCCATACCTCACCCTCCAGCACTGCTGGGAAGACTGATGGGGACTACACATGGTGCCTGGCACGGAAGTGGGACTCAAAAATATGAACCGCCCCACAAACCCCCACCCACCCCCGTCATCTTACAGAGGAGGCATCAGAAGCTCAGAGAAGAGACGTGATTCGCCCAAGTGTACAAAGCAAGAAAGTGCAGACCTGGGATTTGAATCCAGGCCGGGCTGGTCCAAACCCCGATGTGCTGAAACCAGGCTGTCTCCCAAAAGAGCTAGGGAGGGAGGTGTAAAAAAGCCTTCCTGCACCCAATCCCGGCGGATTGTTTTGTTCTGGTTTTCTCACCCATCTTCTGTCTCGGGCAAAACCAAATACTCGGCTACCCAGGGCCCAAGCAGGCACCCACCCTGGCCCACCACCAGGCACCCCTCAGCCACTCACGGCTTCATCCTGGCCTTTTCGTCGCTGGGGCTGTAATGCGGAAGCTGCACATCAAAGATCCTCTCCATGAGGAAGATGGCATAGGCATGGAAGTCCAGCTTGGTGCGAGCTTCCCACACCACCGAGTCGTAGGAATGGGGGTCCAGGAGAACGGTGACATACCTGCCGCCCACCAGCACCTGTGGGAAGTCGGCAAGGGCCAAGGGGCGAGTGTTACTGTGGACAACAGCAGCTCTCAGGGGTCACTGTTCCCAGCAAACCCTTAACTGGCAGTATTCTCTCATAGACACACACCCCCACGCCCCTGTGCCAACCCTGAGACAGGGACCATCGTTCATTCACCCACAGCTGCAAAGGTGAGGCTTCGAGAAGAAATGAATGTGTCCAAGATCACACATGTCAGCATGGCGGTGCTAGGACGTGGATTCAGGGCTTTTTTGGAACTGACCCAAGTGCTCTTAATCTCTCCCTTAAACACCATCCCTGATCATCCCGGTTGTTGCCGTATCTCCAGAAATCAGGAAAGATCTGCCTAGAAGAGGCAGCACACGAATAGGGTGTGTGTCACGGATGGAGAGTTGGACGTGTGGATGGATGCATGAGTGGATTGATGTGAACTCACTGCCATTGAGTCAACTCTGACTCAGCGATGCTACAGAACAGACTAGAACTGAAACCCTTTGGGTTTCTGAAGCTGTAAATCTGTACAAGAACAGAAAGCCTGGTCTTTCTCTGGAAGAGCGGCTGGTGGGTTCAAACTGCTGACCCTGTAGTGGGCATCTCAACTCATAATCTACTACACCAGGAGGGCTCCTATAGAGAGAGATGGGTAAATGTTAATGGGTCATTTTTAGATGTGTACATGGATAGGTGAATAAAAGAATAAGTGGGTGGATTGAAGGATGGACGAATGCTGTTGAATACCCGCTAGTGGATGCATCGTAGATAGATAAATAAGATGGATAAGTGGATGGATGGGTGGGTGCCATTGAATAAATATTAGTGTATAGATTGCTAGAAGAGTGGATAAATGAATGTATAGCTCAATGAATAAATTAAGGATGAAAATTATTGATAGATGGGTTAGTTGGGAAATAAATGTATAAAAAGTATTGGGTACAAGGATGGCAGGTCGCTCCATGGATGCTGGGTAAACAGATTGAATGATGGATGTTGCAGGGATGGATGGAGGTTAGAAGGCTAGATGGAATTAGATAAATGGGTGGCAGTTGCTTGAATGGATCCTGGAAGGCTGAAGGGGGTATAAATAGGCATTCACGGAGTGGAAGATGAATGGATGAGCAGACATTGGGCAATGAATGGCTGGATCGTTGATTGCTGGATAATGGCTAATGGATGGAGGGTTTGGTAGATAAATAGAGAAATGGGAGTTGGTAGAAACTAAATTATGGATAAGAGATGGATGTTGAGTACATGAATGGAAGAGCATTTGGTAAATGATGGGTAAAGCCATGGAGGGATGGATCGTGAGTGAATGGATAGAAAGACAGATCATGGAAAATTACATGGAAAGAAAGATGCACGCAATGAAATAGCTGGATAAATACTGGGGGTTTGCTGAGCAGATATTGGGTACATAGGTGTAATGATAGATGGAAGGAAGGATGGTTGGATGGATGGATAGAAGTTGCATTGCTGTAAGCTGAATGGAGAATGAAAGGCAGTTGGATGTATAAGTATTGAAAAGATATTGAATGATTGCATAGCTGCTATTGAAGATGAGTATCAGGTTAGCACTGAATGTACAGTTGGCAAGACATATGGGTAGCAAGTTGGATGGGTGCTGAGGAAATCACTCTGCCCCAAGCAGGCCTGCTGCTCATTCCCCTCTCTCCCCAGAGGCACAAGAGGCACTTACGGTAAAGATGTCGCCGTGTTTCTCTTTCATCCTCGTGAGGAAGCTGGCAGCATCTCTTCCAAACTCCAGAGCATGGCCCAGCCAGGGGATACTGCCCCGGTCCAGCGGAGGCTCCCCAGGTCGCCTGCAGAAACATCGCGGTATTACCATTTGATGACGCAGGGAAGGGGCTAGCGGGCATGGGATGTGGTTTTAAATGGAGTTACAGGTCAATGCTCATTCAGTCTGGGGATGCCAAGGCTGTGTGGTGATACTCAAGACCAGAATCATTCCTGAGAGCAAAGCAATTCCTCCGGGAACATAAGAACAACGTTCACTGCTCACCGTGGGGCCAGCGGGAGAAAGATGGAGCCTTCTACTCCCGTGAAGAGTTACAGTCTCAGAAACCCACAGGGGAAGTTCTACCCTGTCCTATCAGGTCACTGTGAGTTGGAATCAACTCAATGGCAGCGAGTTGGGTTTTGATGGTGGGCAGAATCCAAAGGAAACCATAATGACCCATACCGTCTCTAACTCCCTCCTAGGGAGGAGCTATATGGCGTAGGGTTAACAAAAAATGATTACCCTCAGGAGGCCTGGCTAGTCGGGGGTTAAGTGATGGGGCTTAAAAAGGACTGGTTCTTCCTGGCAGAAGTGATTTGAAACATGAGAGAAATGTAACATAAGGAAGATGCTGTGTTGCTGGCTTTGACGATGGAGGGGGCACATGGCGAGGGATGTGGGCAGCCTCTAGTAGATCAGAGCAAACCTCCACTGACAGGAAGCCAGAAAATGGGGCCCTCGGCCCTACACTGTGAGCAATGGGATTGGTCCAGATTCGTCCAAGAGTGCCCAGATAGGAAGGCTGCCTGGCAGACACCTTGATTTCAGCCTTGTGAGACTGGGAACAGTCTAGGAAGAGAGGCCTGTGCATCACAGTGATCCTATTCCATTGTGCACAAGGTCACCAGGAGTTTGGGATTGACTCAATGGCAGTTCACAACAGGGAGCCCAGCCACATCATGCTGCTACTTTTATCTACCAAATTGTCTAATGAATGCGGGTTGTCTTAAACTGTTGGGTTTGCGGAAATTTAAAACATAGCTGTGTTAGTCTGGGTTGACTAGAGAAACAAATTCAGACCCTCATATGTGTGTAAGAAAGAGCTTTATAAACATGAGCAGTTGAATATTGAGAAACCATCCCAGCCCCGTCTAGATCAAGTTCATAAATCCATGTGGTAGTTACATAATCTGGTGTCAATTTGAAGATTCACAGTGAAGGAGTGGAATCTAGCCTCTCAATCAGGTCATAGCTTGATGACCTCATTTGGAGGCGCTAAGGAGCTAAATAGCTCACTGGAGGCGGGACACAGGCTCACTCCCTGGGAGAAATTACGGCTGCCAAAACACATGGAACTGTGCTAGTGCCCTGAGCTGGAGGAGCCATGAGGAGACCCCTACCAGTTCTAAGATGCTTACAAAGCCACTGGATCCACAAGACTTTCCACCCACTGACCTTTATGATGATCTCCCCACAGGTCCTGGGGAGTCCTGGGAACTGCCCCATCTAGCCTGAAGTCTATTTGGGGGGCTCGGGGGCTTTGTGGCTTGGCTCTGCTCCCATTGCTGCTGTGCTATGTTCCTTTCTTGGTGAAACTGTAACTCTTTGTGGAAGTAGAAATCCTAGTCTTTCTTCTGTGGAGCCTCTGCTGACTTCAAACCACTGGCCTTGCAGTTAGCAGCCTGGCGACATAACTATTTTCTTCATATAGTCCAGCTTCTAGATTATTTGTTCAGCATACAGATTGAATAAGTACGGAGAAAGGATACAACCCTGACACACACCTTTCCTGATCTTAAACCACACCATATCCCCTGTTCTTTTCCAACAACTGCTTCTTTGTCCACGTAATGTTCTGCGTGAGCACAACTAGGTGTTCTGAAATTCTCGTTCCTCATAATGTTACCCTACTTTGTTACGGTCCACATAGCTGAGTGCCTTTGCAGAGTCAATAAAACACAGGTCAACCTGGTATTCTCTGCTGTCAGCCAAGATCCACCCACCAACAGCCTATGTTCTATGTCCTCTTCTGAATCTGGCTCGAATGTGTGGCAGTTCCTTATACATGCACTGCTATATTCACTTCTGAATTATCCTCAGCAAAATCCTACTTGTGTGTGATAATGATATGGTGGATTACTTCCACATTCTGCTGGATCATCTTTCTTTGGAATGGGCACAAATATGGATTTTTTTTCCCAGTCAGAGGCTAAGTAGCTGCCTTCCAAATTTCTTGGCATAGATGAGCGAAGGCTTCCAGCATTGCACCCATTTGTTGAAAACGGGAGCCTCGTTTTCATAGATGCTTTCAGCGCAGCTTGGTCTTCTTCCTAGCGTTTGATCAAGTCAGTTCTTGACCATACACTACCTCCCAAGATGGTGAGAGAGCCTGGTGGTGCAGTGGTTACAAGTTGGGCTGTGATCTGAATGATCAGCTGTTCAAAACCACCAGCAGCTCCGAGGGAGAAAGACTGGGCTTTCTCCTCCTATAAACACTTACAGTCTCATAGCCAATCAGCATTGACTCAATAGTGAGTTTGACTTTTTTTTTTTGTAAGATAGATGAACACCAAGCAATTCTTTTTGGTACAGTGACTCCGTGTGTCCCTTCATCTTCTTTTGATGCTTCCTGTGCCACACTCAATATTCTGCCCATGGAGTCTCTCAATATTGTAACAAGAGGCTTGAATTTCTTCTCCGGTGGTTGTAGTTTGAGAAATGCTGAGAATGGTGTGCTAGTTAAGGTTTATTGTGCCAACCTGGCCGATAAACACATGTGGGATTAATTGAAGGGCAGTTAATTGAAGGGTGGAGAGAGAAATGGCTCAGTGAGTCTCACCCTTCTTGTTCTTTGGTCTCTTGCTCCCTGATGGTCAGCCTGGGTGCTGGAGCAGCCGCATGGAGAATCCTGCCAGCGCAGAGATGCTTACACGTTCACTGATTTGGCTTTCCTCCTGCAGTCAGCATCGTAAGGTGTGCTTTCTGAGTTTGAGGAGGACTTTGTAGATCAGTGTTGGACATAGGGGCTAATGTCGGACTTATGGGCTTGGACTGGGCTGGGATGCTTAATGTACACTTACCCTTTATATAAAACTCTCTGTTACATACGTATGAGGTTCTGTGGATTTGTTTCCCTAGGCTACCCAGACGCACACACATGGTCTTCCTGTGGTTTTCTACCTCCAGGTCTCTGCACATTTCTTTTCAAGCTGCCCTTTGAAAACTTCTGTTGAGTCCAGAAGATTACTTCATTATTTCTTCCCTTCACTTGGTCATCCTACGTTCAAGAGTACGTTTCAATCTTGTCTGATGTTGATTCGGACCTTTTGCTTTCTTTAAGGAGACCTGGTGGCATAGCGGTTACACGTTGGGCTACTAACTACAGGTCAGCAGTTCAAAACCACCAGCTGCTCCTCAAAAGAAAGGCAGGGCTTTCTAATCGCAAACAGAGTTACAGTCTCGGAAACTCAACAGGGACAGTTCTACCCTGTTCTAAAGGGTCGCTAGGAGTCGGCATTGACTTGACAGCAGTGAGTTGGGTTGGGGGTTTGATTCTGCTCTATGTCTGATGTTCCTTCTGTCATCCCATAGCTTGTCTGGTCTTTGGTTATTAGCATTGAGTGTATCAAATCTACTTGTCAGATGGTCTCTAGGTACAGGTGGGATATATTCAAGGTTGTACATGAGCTCTTGTAGACTTGTTTTCATCTTATTCAGCCTCAAGTTCAACTTGCATACGAGCCATTAGTGGTCTTTTTCACAGTTGGCCCCTGATCTTGTTCTGACTTTGAGAGATTCTCCGTACTCTCTTTCTGCAGATGAATAGATTTGCTTCTGTGTATGCTCTTTGGAGAGGCCCAAGTGTATAGTTGGTGTTTATGTTGTTGGAGAAAAGCCTTTGTAATAAGTCATTGGACTTGCAAAATTCTACCACAAGACCTACAGTGTCATGTCTATCACCAGGGCAAACATTGGAATAGTCATTTCTCCTAAGTTGATATACAAATGGTCAATAAGCACATTTAAAAGATCCTTAGCCATTGGAGAAATACAAAACACAACTGTGATGAGATGCCACTTCACACCCACTAAGGTGGCTGTAACCAAAAAGACAGAAAATAGCAAGGATTGGTGAGTATGTGAAGAAACTACATGGTGGGAATGTCGAATGGTGTAGCAGCTTGGAAAATCAGTTTAGCATTTCTTCAAAAGGTTACCCACAGAGTTACAATATGATCCAGCAACGCACCCCAAAGAACTGAAAACAGGTGTGTACACAACAACTTGTACACAACATTACCATCAATAGCCTCTCAGCGGGAATAAAACCCAACTGCCCATCCACCACGGAATGGACAAGCAAAACCCCCCTCTCCCTGCCATGGGGTGTTACTCAGCCATGAAAGGGATAAAGCACTGACACCTACTACAGCGTGGCTGACCCTTGAAAACGTCACGCTGGGTAAAAGAAGCCAGTCACAAAAGTCCACATATTTTATTATTCCTTTTATACAAAATGTCCGCTATGGGCAAAGCCATGTGCACAGAAAGCAGATGCAAGGGTGTCAGGGGCTGGAGGGAGAGAAGTGGGGGGCTGCTCATGGGTTTGGAGATTTTCTTTGTTCTGAAATTACATAGTGGTGATGGTTACATACTCTTGTAACATTTTAAAATACAAATTAAAAACTCCACTAATTTGAGTAATTTTAGAAGGTGAGGTTTATAGTAGTAGAAGAAGAAGATAAAAAGAAGCTCACTGCTATCGAGTCTATGCTGACTCATAGCGACCTCATAGAACAGGGTGGAATGGTCCCTGGGGGTTTCTGAGACTGGAAATCTTTACAGGAGTAGAAAACCGAGTTTTTCTCCCCCAAACAGTGAATTCGAACTGCTGGTCTTGTGGTTAGTGAATGTTTGTGGTATGTGGATTAAATCTCGCCCCCCCCCACACACACAAATAAAGACAAAGGAAAGGAGGGTAAAGAGAGACAATGACAGTAGGGCACTGCAGAGATGATGGGGTGCTGGGGGGTGGGTCCCTCCAGGAGCTTCCCTGGGAGGGCAGCCTGGGAGGGGGCGAGG